ATTATAAATTAACTAATATTCATGCATATGCATCATGTTTATTTTTACTTGAAAGTCATCAGGTTTACTTAAATAAATTATATAATAGAAGAATTAAATAATAATATATAAAATGATAATTTAACACAAAAAATTATATCAATTAGTCTAAAAAGACTTTTAATAATTGGTCAATATCCTAAAAATGATATATGGCGTTTATATGAAATACGTGAACGTATTTATACATTATTACAACGACCAAATAAAAATACAAATTCATTAAATAATGAACATGTTAATGAAGAACAAAGAATGATTAATAGTTCATCAATAATATCATCATCAGATAATATTCTTGTTGAACTTGTTGCAGAACAATATGCACGTACTAAACAATCATCAACATTACCATGATTACTTGCACATCTTGGTTTATCGGATTGTTTAATGAATAAAATAGTTTTAGAATTTGCTGCATCAACACAACAATTATATCCTCAAAGACTTGAATATACAGTTTTTGCTGTTTTTTCGTACTTTAATTAATGCACGTTATTCAGCTAAAGTTAATAATTAGACTTTATTATCAATGACAATTATTGCACAAGGAAAATCAATATGTATGACTATATGAGGGTCAACTTGTTTTAGGTTAAGTGTATGTTCATCGTATAGAATTGCTGATGCATTGTAAGTATTTACTTAAATCATTTATTCTTAATCTTTAAAGAAAAAAAAATTGTATTGAAATTTCATAGTGATGATTTAATAGTGAATTAATATTGCACGAGTTTTTCTAAATTTTTTCTTATGAGTAAAATCGAGTGAAGTTGAATTTGGGTTGTTGGATGAGCTTTTTTTTAATCTATGAGCCACTGCACGAGAAGGACAACCGATTTTCCAATATAGATGCTCAATCGATAATCGCAGATCGAGATGGTAGTTAGCCCATCTTGTAGAGGACATTTTTTTAGGCATAAATCCAAATTTTTAGCCCTAAAGATTGAACTTTCGCTGAGATATGAAATACCGACTGAAAAGCCACAAAATGCCTTTTTATCAATTTTTCATTTTTTTGGGTGGCCGGCAACCATCAATATTTTTACAATATCTCTTCATCAGAATGTGATAGAGACCTGAAATTTTTACTAGAGATAGATCCCAACATGGGGACCATAATCAGTCTATTTAATAAGATATATGTTGTGAAAAAGTATTATCCCCATTTCTAACCCTAGTCTCAATATAGGTCCAAAAGAGGTTCATCTTGTGAATTCGATTTCTCCTGATCAGTTCGATCAATTTTGCTGAAACTTTTTTTGCAAAGACTACTATCCTAGTACTACATGCAAATGCGATCAGAAATTTGGGATCTTGAAATTTGCCCTAAAAATGATGAACCTCGAAATACTGATATTTCTCTGGTATCATAGAGCAAGTGGGACCCGTGTGG